AATTTCCTTTTAAAGCATTCCTCCAAAATTGGTGGCCAGCAATGCAATATCCCTCAATTAATTGTGCTTTGGGTAAAGGAATCCTGTGACTTTCCAGGATCTACATCCATCATTTGTATTAGGAAACATCAGGGTTTTGTGCTCCAAATTCATTCTGTTCTCTACTGCTGCAGAAAACAATGTCACTTCCCCACTGAAGAATTCCTTAGCTTGAGTACAGGTGGGGGGGGGGGGAGGAATGAGAAGTGGACTTTGCTGTCTCCAGCAGTGCTGATGCAGAGAGACTAGAACCAAAAGGTTGGAGAACCAAGGACCTGCTCAGTGCCCTATATTTTATAACTGACAACATGCTTATTGTTCTGAACAGCAAGCTATAGGACAGGGCTAGAGTTAATTATTGCACGCTTCTCTGTATGAAGGGTGGGAAAAGTTATCACTCTGTGTTATCCTCTGCAAAAAACCAGCCACCCAGGAACAGTAATGTGGTGGTTTTGCTGCAGAAGAGTTCCTGTCTCCCCTTGAAAGGAGCAGTGACTCCTTCCTTTAGGCAAGAAACTATTGAAGATTCCTAGAAGGATACAACTGGATGTCTTCCTAGTGCTCTCAGAGCCTTTGGCTATCAGAAAAATGCCTGCTTTGTTTGCATTGTATGAAGCCATTCATTTCTGCACCCATTTTAAAGTCAGTTCCTTGGCCACAGGCTTCTGCATTTTTAAAAATACTAGTTCTCACTCAGTGGGATAGAAAACATGGTGCCTTAGAAATTATTTCAAGGAAGAAAGATTTTGAGAAACATTCTTGGGTAGTGTAGGGTTTCTGTACTTGCTTAGCTAGGAAACAGCCCAGAGATAAATGCAGATGGTCTGACTTTCATTATGCAAGCTGGGGGTTGGGGTGTCCTGCCCTTGCATAATCAGGTAAAGAATTTCTCCTTTCCTTGGAAAAAATCTGAGAAATCAGCCGCCCAATTTTTCCATCCTCAGATTTGGTAGAGCATTCTGAAAACTCCCAGATGTGGCTGAACTATGGCATCTAGCATCCCTCATGACTGACCGTGTCTTCCCAGGGACGTTGGGAATCATAACTGAGTCATGTATTGGGGTGCCAACTAGGAGATAATAGGAACGTAGACTAGACTGAGAAGCAAAGTAATAATAACAACAGTACTACCAGAAATAGGCAAGGATAAAGCACTTTTGTGCTTTTCTGTTGGTGAGAAAGCTTTGTGAATTCACCAAGCAACCTGAAGGGGACTTTAGATTTTTATAAGATAATTAGAGACTCAATGCAGCCATTACACTTCCTCTCTCTCCCTCTCCCCTCACATGTTCTGTCTTGGTTTTCCCATATCTATTTTTTTTTTTTTTGGTACCTTTCCTCCTCTCTATTTTTGCTTCAATGATTCCATTAAGGGTAATGAAACCTTAGATTTTGCACGTCTCTTAGGATGCTATGTTCTTCATTAAAAAAAAAAGTAAATGTGGCAACAGAAGGCTGTTACTTGATTAAGTAAAATCCTTAACCCTTTTATTATGTGTGTTAAAATACCCTCACTGTCAAAAACAATCTCTTTGATCAACCTACCCTAGCATTTTAGGATTCACGGCAAGTGTATAGTAATACCTCTTTATGATTTCAGTTGAAATAATGATTTAAATCAGAGGTGCATAACCTTAATCTGTAAATCCTTGAGTGCGGGCCATAGATACCCTCCCATAATTGCCACCAAACTGTAATTTTATTGAAGATTGTTTAATACATGGAGAGTAAGCATATTAGCTGGATCAAATTAATATAATATAGTCTTATTCATAATAAATTGACATGAACCTACAAACAATTTGAGGTTTTTTGTGGACCCCACACATGCTTTGTCCTGCGTAGGGGAAGGATGAAACCCTCAGGCCCTACTTAAATGCTAAGCCTGACCCCCAGTCTGAATAAAATTATACACATCTGATTTAAATGCAGCCAAAGTTGTTAAGTACGGATTATTCTAGAGAAAGCTTGAAAGAGAGTTCTAGTATCTAAAGAGCATTTGTGCTACTTGATGTAATAGAATCATAATAATTCCCTCATTAAAACCTGGAAGAGAGAGCATAGCAATAGACCAGAAGGGCAAGGTGAAGAATTCAAGTAGACCTGCAGGGAGCTATAATGAATGTGCTCTCAAAAACTTCTCCATTGCCATAAGCATCTTGGTGAATATGACCCATATTTAGTGCTTTCATCCTGGTAGGGTGGCCACCTAGACTGTGCTTTCTTGCACCAAGTGCTTGGTTGGTCCAAGCTGCAGAGAGCTCAGGGGCCCCATTATCCCCAAGTCCTTGTGTCGATCAGTCATCCAGGTGCTGTTCCTCCCACGTGGATGTTGGGATGGCACTGTAAGGGTCCATGATCACTTTGGCACAGCGGATAATCATGACGATGAGAAAAAGGCAGAGGAAGACAAAGCATGCTAAGGTTAGTCCTTTGTCCACATCAACAAAGGCTGGTTCGGGTGTTGGTCCTTCCATTGCTTATGTCTTTCCACATCAGGGTTAATTCCTGCTGCTACCATGATTTTTTTACCTGCAGAAAGTGACAATATTTAACAAACAATCCATGCACCATCTTTAGACTTCATTTTTTAGAATGCAAGTTCAAGGGTTTCTGCACTGATATACATCTCCCCCAGCATTAAAATTAAAGACCCCAATGTGCTTCATTAAGTTTCATCAGATTGGCAGGTACCAGTGACAGGTCTGTTTTGGTGGTGGCCTTATATATCTGGAATTATTTCCTTCGAGATGAATGTTGCCTCAAATTAAAACCATTCCTGTTTCATTCAGCATTTTTTAATGTTTTTAGTGGCCTGGTTCCTATATACTGTTTTTAAAATCTGTTTTACCTACAGTTTTCCCAAAAGGGAGGATATAAAATTGAATAATAATAAATATGTGCCAAAATGTTTTGGGGATTGGATAGACATAATTAATCACAACTGCTTGTGCTGTTCATTGTTCTGTTTTTAATAGACATTAGATTGCAATTTTGATGTTCTGGAATAATTAATGCTCCATTTTATTGCTCTTTTATTGAGAGCAGATTCTGGAATCCTCACCAGAAGAAAAACAGGTTAGGAATGTATTTATTAAGAGTATTTATCTTCTATCTTTCCATGACAAAAATAGCACTAATTCAAATTGCAATAAAATACAACACAAACAATACACCACAATGAAATTATTGTGGGTAGAAAAAAGGCAGTCTGGCAAGTCACTCAATATATCCCAGTCAACAACAACAACATGTTAAGAGCATTTACTTTCACAATTTCTTCCAAAGGAGAAGAGAATTTCAGCAAAAGATGGCCAGAGAGCATGTGTGAATGTCCAGTCATTCATGAGATAATCTTCTCTTCATCTTTAACCTCCCTGGCTCCCCACATTTCCATTCAATGCAAGTGAAAGATTTCAGGGGAGAATTTCCCTACTGTTCTGCACCCCTCCCCAGAAATCGAGGTATGAAGATCCAAGGAGGCTTCAGAGCACTGGAAAGACAAGTGGCAGAAAACAATACCAGAGATAGCATCTTTCATCACCTTCAGCAACAAAAATTACCTTAAAAACAGCACCAAGAGAAAGACAGGAAGATATTCTCAAAGACCCTAAGCATGAAGCAGAAAAATAATTCACTTTTTTATATAGGGGGAGAACCTTTCTGAATAATTGCAAGGTAGCTTTAGGCTCTAATGCTGGAAGGTGCCAAAACTCAAAAGTTTCAAACATATCCCTGGAGGAAACACCATTGAGATGTGGCTCCCTCATACAGTTCAGACATTCTAACATTTGCTTCATTGGGTTGTAACAGATGAATCTCCTCCTTTTTGATGGTCTTCAGCAGACACAATGGTTCCAGATGTTTTTGGAGAAGACTAACCTGTTGTCCAATATAGGCTACTTCTGGGTAAAATAGAATTTGTTGCCTGGAGCAGGTTGAAAATGAGACTCTGAAGGTAAAAGCATTTTTAAATGGTTAATTTCTTTCACAATGAATGTGTGGCCGTGCTACTTCTGGAGTTGTTGGTTTTGGTGAATCAGGTTTCCATCATTTTGCAAGATGCTCATACTTCCCAATGGGAAAAGGCTTGGGGGAAGAAATTTATTTGGAATACCTTTCCTTGGCATTTAACAAAAACCTAGGAAGCCCGGGAGGCTGTAGACCAGTGTTTCTCAACCTTGGCAACTTTAAGACATGTGGACCTCAATTCCCAGAATTCTCCAGCCAGCATGAGAAGTGCATGGCCCGGGAATTCTGGGGGGTGAAGTCCACCCGTCTTAAAGTTGCCAAGGGGGAGAAAAACTGCTGTAAACCAACAAAGAGAAGATTGCATGATGAAAGAAAGGACAGTTATAGAATCCCCTGACCACTCTATTGCTAAATAAATGCAAGAACATCCTACTTCACTCATGAGACTTGATCAGAAATTCTCTTCTCCTTTGAAAGAAATC